TCTGGAAAGCTGTATGGAGATTCTTCAATAGATTAAACATAGAGCTCCCTTATGACACAGCAATCCCACTCATGGGCATTTACCCAAATGACCACAAACCAGGCCACACTAAAGCCATCAGCACAATTATGTTCATTGCAGCATTGTTTACCATAGCTAAGATATAAAATCACCCAGATGTCCCTCATTGGATGAGGACAATGGAACCCTATGCTTCCATCAGAAAGAATGTCATTGCTCCATTCATAAGGAAATGAAAGGATTTAGAGTTATATTAAGTGGTATAGCAGGCCCATGGGAATGCACGTATAAAGGAAGCCAGTTTATCAATAGTGACTGACATGAGCGTGTTAACAACCCAATCTAATACTAAAGAAATACTAAAGAAAATCAGAGTGTAGCTGCACTTGGAGGATGGAGTTGTGACCATTATAATTACATTTTAAAGAACAAATACAGGTAGTATATCAGCAGCCATTCTCTAAGATAATCATTAGATCATTATTGAACAATATCCTCCATTCCAAACCCGTGTTTCCCAAATATTTAGAGAAACTTCTTAAATGGTTCTAACTTTATAAAATAAAAGCAAAAAAATAAGCAGCTTGGAATTCTCCATGCATGCTGAATGGAAAGCCTAAAAATTACAAGCAAATATCTGCTTACAGGCAATAAAGAACTGCTGAATCAAGGCAATTGGAGGAATCAGCATTCTAGAGAAGGGAAAGATGTTTACAGGTGAAATGTTCTTTGCAAGGAGTTTTTTGTTCTGTGGCATTTGCTTAAATTATGAGCTAGCCAGAAGATTCCATAGCAAATTAGAGACATTTGGGGACTTGGGGAACTGTAATCAAACAGGAAATGAGACATATTGCATAGATATGGCTGATTTCTCCTATAGATATTTGGTAAATTGAAAGGTTATATTGGAAATGTAAAGCTAGAAACCCTATACTGAAAAGCCCTAGAAATCTCTGAAGAATTTATGTGTCTATGTTGATATTAAGCCTATAGTGTTTCAAGTTAAAGACAAAGGAGAGTACATAATGGAATTCCCAGAAGAAAAACCCTTAACTGTCCACTTGTGGAAAGAGAAAGAAATCAGGGACCAAAGCAATATCCTCTGCTCAGAATCAGTTTAAAGTGATAGCACTCTTTTCTGGCTGTCTTTGTGGTAATACAAAGAATAATAGCTAAGAAGTATATCATCATTCAAGTAATTTATAATTACCCAGACTGACAAATACACAAAAAATAAGGCATCTGGGCTCTAATCTAGGAATGGATTTTAATCATGAATGGGTGATTCGACACATCAGAGAACAAGGCCATAGATCTCATTCCTGCCACAATCAAGAAAACACACAAAGACATAGCTTGAACAGAAAATAAAATGTTGTCACTGGTAACAGGAGCAAGAGTAGCTGATGATGACTGAAAACCATAACATTTATCTGTTACATGGAAACAAGAGAATTTTACATGTGATTTATAGCTCTATAAATGAACTCAAATGGTCACGAAACAAAGTAGTGAGTGGATGACATTTTTTTCCTATGATCTGATTTTTGCTTTATAAGTAAGTCTTCAGCACCATGCTGCTGTTTTATGCTAATGTATACACTAACACAAACATGGGTCGCAGTGAGTAATATAAATTAGATCTAAAATAAAGAAACTTTGTAGTGTGATGGAATACTCCAGAAGATATTCCTTTTGCAAAGTTTAGAGGAACTTGAAATTTCTAATTAATGCAGAAAGAATATATGGTAGAAAGATCTAAAGAAAAAGACCAGGGTTGGGAAAATGTGGAGTGCTGCCATAAATCTGGGTACTTAGCCAGTAGTTCTTGCTACTAAATAGAAGATTACCCATGGAAACATAAGAAGGAAGAATTTCAAATTGCTTTGTGGAAATTAATCATCTTACAAGATTTCAGATATACATATTTCTAATGAACCTAAATAAGAGAGGAGATATATTGTATTCATTGACTGCTTTATTAAAAGGCAGCTCCTTTGTATAACTCCTTAAAGATAAAAAATAAAAACACACTTATAGATAAGTTACAATAAACAGGTGATATTACAATACTTCTAATGGGATTTAGTTCAGTCAATCATGAGTGACTAAATGTCAAGCATCACCTGTGAATTTTGAGAACACTAAGAAGTTATTTTGCTCTTTATGTGGGTTTTTGGCTAATGTTTACAGTAAATTTCTTTTCAAGCATTTTTTAACCCTTTCATTATCTTTTATACTTTCAGCTTTCTGGCTTATTAGGAACATCATTGTGGATTTCTTTCTCTCTCTCTCTCTGGAAATCTTTGTTTTCTCACCGATTCTTTGTTATGTAGCTTAATGAGGATGTGGCTACAAGATTGCTCTCTGGTCCTGTGTTGCCCGTTTTGAGTTTATGTCTGCTTTCCTTTCATTTCCTGAGTGTGCTCTTTCATATAAGCAGAAGGCTCAGGAAAACAAAGGTTTTAAATTGTTATTTGGGATGGTTTTCTTTATATTCTGGGGACATGTAAATATCTACTAACTCAGAAAATTCAATGCCAAAGAATCTTAAATCCATAAGGCCTGGATTTTCAATCTCATTTCTTCTTTATTATTATCTATGATTGTCTGTCTGTGGAGGAAAGCCCACATAACTTCAATATTTTTTATATCATTAATACTTCAAAGGCTCCAAAGTTGATACTTTTAATAGCGTTTAAGGGACGAAAAGGCTCAGGAGGTAAAAGGAATGAAGTATAGCACAACCAAAGCTTTGGCCTCTATTTAATTTTGGCTATGTACATATTCCACTGCTGCTTTTTCCATCCAATATAAATTATTTCTGTGTTGCTTATAATTTCTTCAACTCTCAAAAGTTACAAAATAGTTCTAGAAATATGTTGACATATCTTTCCCACAATGAAGCTTTCCATGTTTTCTCACACTTGAAATAGTTGAGGTGATTTAAGCAAAGTCAAGTATTAAAAAAAGATTTAAAAAAATTACATGCATCCCATATTAAGAGCACAGACTATGAGGGGAATGCAATAAAATGGTGACTGTACCACTGATAATATTGCAACATCATTGTCATGTTATGAAAATATATTTTGATTAATTTTCATGTAATAAATTCCCAATTACCATAGTGTTATAGGAGGAATTGCAGTTAGTGACATGCATTTCAACAGCAATAAAAGTAAACTATTTTCAAAGTTAAATTAACCATCTTTCATTTAGCATGTTTACGTCCAAGTCAAGTTTTCACTGTAGAATCATTAGTTATTTATAAATGTGAAATGCAATCTTTATTGCGATGGAAACAACTCAAATAAAAATCTACTAAAATAGAAACATAAATGGCCCTTTCTGTAATTATTCAACATATAGGGAATGCAAAGATTTATCTTTGTGTTATAAATATTCATTTATATGGAATACATTTCTTTTTCTTTTGCATTTATATTGTTTTATGTGTTGGAAATTCTGGGGACAGAACTCAAGGCCTCTTGATTGCTAAGCAGAAGCTCTGCCACTTGACTCATGACTCCAGCTTCTTTTTCTCTTGGTTATTTTCAGAAGATGATCTCCATTTAAGCTCTGTCAGAGATGGGCTATACTGTTACCACTTGGATTTCTCCTTGTTGGTGGAGATGACCTTGCCCAACTATTGATTAAAATGGAATCTCCTGAAAGTTTATCCCAGGCTGCCTCCGTACTGAGATCCTCTTGATCTCTACCTTCTAAGTAAGTAGAATTATAGACGAGTTACTCTTTCTAATTTATACAGAGTATATTTGCATTGTCAAATGAGAAATGTAAAATGTAAATATAAAATGAGTGGGAGATAAGGAGGGATGGGTCACAATGATTAAAAACAAATGTGCTTATTGACTTACTTATGTAACTGTAACCACCTGCTCATCATCTTTTCAATGAAAGTTTTAAAAATGTATAAATACTTAAAAAAATATAAGGTTCTGCAAATAATCAAGTAAGTGGAATTTGTCATACTCAAACATAGAAATAGTATTCTTATTAATAGAGCCGGCCACAATGCAACTGAAAATGCTTGACATAATTTTGTTTTATATGTTCATCTTAACCTTATGTACCTGAATGTATAATATAATAATTTCAATATAAAGAAATATGATAATAAGAGAATGTGTTTTCTAGATATGAGAAAGAGTATACAACATTTACTCCTAAACAGGTGTACTGTTGTTTGCTTCACATTATTCTGAGGTACGTGTTAAATCCTAAATAAGAACATACTCAAGCTAATATCATCAAAGACAGTTGGAAACCAAAGAAGTTGATGTTAACCTGAAAACTGCAAGTAATAAATTGACAACAGACTTCCAAAATACAAAAAAATGACCAAACAACTCCACTATATAACAAGTTTTTCACTGCTACTAAATTATGGGGTTCTTTTTCCTCTTCCTAAATAGAGAACATTATACCAAACTAACATTTTAAAACTACCATAAGATTCTATTAGTAACCAAAGTTTGAATCCTCAGTTTAGAAAAGGTTCAGAAAAGCAAGAAAAAGAAGGAATTTGTACAAATGTCTTGATAGGGTTGATAATACAAGATGAGTTCAAACATTGCATTTCCTTTCATGATTCTCCCTAGGATTTTTTTTTCATTTTTTTTCTCATTTATTTTTTGCCTTCTAGCAGCTGCAGCAGCTCTCATAAACTTGTTTGTCAGCTAAGATTTCTCATACAATTTGCCCAGGACTATATTACATGTACATTCTTGTTTAAAGCAAAACTTCTGAATAAATTCAATGAGTGTTATTTGTACATATGGCTCAATTTTTAAATATAAGCTATTCACAGATCATGACACATTAGCATCAAATTGACTTGGAATGCAGATTTGCAAGTTGTTTGTGGTATATAAAGATAAGAGCAAAACTAATCAATGCTTTTCTCATTTGTGGAAGGAGAAATTATATAGACCAAAAAATATGTCAGTGTTCACCTTCATTGTCCTTAAGAGTGAAGTTTGGGTTCACAGGCAGATGTTCATCAAGAAAGAAGTTAAATCTTGGTCCGTTGGCAAAATCATCTTTATCAGTAGCACTGATGGTGTGAATGACCTAAATAAAATACACACAAAGGAGTAAATTTAATTTGTGATTTCTCATATCTGTTTCAATTATAGAGTATCCCTTTAATCACTAAAATGAAAGATCCTTAACATTCTCCATTCCAACTTGAGTGGTTTACAATTAAACACATGAAAATACTGATTAGCTTGGTCTCTACTGTATTAGATGTGAAGGAAGATAATACAGTACAATTCATTAAAATGTCATTGATTTCTGCCATGGCACAATTATTCTAAAACATTTTGTTTAGAGTCTGGGGATATTGTCTCAAGCATTAGAGCATTTGCTAAATAAGAGTGAAATATTGAGTTGAAACCCCAATAACTCTAAAACAATATATATACATATACATATATATACATATATATTATCATTCACAATACCGCAGAATGAAATTATTGTTAAGATTTTGTTTGAACACATATCTGGGGAAGCATGAAGTATGGTTTTAAAACTCATCAACACTCTTGGGCTGGGAAGGTGGCTCAGTGGTAGAGTGCTTGTCTTGCATGCATGAGGCCCTGGGTTCTATTCCTCAGCAGCACATAAGCAGAAAAAGCCAGAAGTAGCACTGTAGCTCAAGTGGTAGAGCACTAGCATTGAGCTGAAGAGCTGAGGGACAGCGCCCAGGCCCAGAGTTCAGGCCCCACGACTGACCAAAAAAAAAAAAAAAAAAAAAAAACATCAACACTCTGATGTTCAGGTAGAATGGCCTTGATGTATGCTGATCTTTCTCAGGACAAAATGACAGTGAATTCTGGTTTTTATCTTTGTTTCAATCTGTCATTGCGTTCATAATTCAGTGGCTGTATTTTATAGTTGAGAAATTTGAGATGCATAACAATGATGGTGTGCCTCAAATCTCTAAATCAGTAGCAGAGGCAAACCCAGAGCTTTAGGTGATTTATTATTAATCTCTCATGTCTAGTAGTCATGATGATGCCACTCTAAAATCTTTACAGATTTTTCTTTCCTCTTCAGAGAAGTTTTTCTTTAAGTCTTTAGCCCACTTCTTTATCAGGCAGTTGTTTCTTTGAGGACTTGTTGTTGGGGGATTTAATTTTTTGAGTTCCAAGTATATTTAGGTATCAGACCCTTGTCCTTTGTATGGCTATGAAGATCTTCTCCCAGTCCGTGGGCTTTCTATTGATCTTGCTAACTATGTCCTTTGCCATGCAGAAGGTTTGCAGTTTCATGCAATCCCATTTGTCTAAACTTCCTTTGATTTGTTTTGGGGTCTCTATTAAGAAAATTTCGGGGGGGCATAGTTGGGGAGGTGGGGAAGGAAGGGATGGTAGGGGAAAAGCAAAGGGGGAAGCAACAATGTTCTATAAAAAATATACTCATTACCTTACTTATGTAACTGTAAGCCCTCTATACAGTATTTTTACAATAAAAACATATTAAAAAAAAAATCTTTACTGAATGCAAGTTAAAGAACAGAAGAAGTGAAAATCCAAAAAGAAGATCATGTCAGCAGCACAGAAGCAGAAGAAAATTCTGATAGCTATGGCCTGTACAATCTTAAAAAAGTTTTCACTTAGATTCTAGTAGCTCAGGAGGCAGGTGTATGAGGATCATGAAGTGCTGGAAGTGGAAGGTGGTTTTAGTGTGAGCCTTGAACTAAAAAGCTCGGGGACATTGCCTGAGTTCATGCCCCAGGACCAGCACCAATAAACAAGTAAGTGTTCAACTTAGTATTGTGTAGAAAATGAATGCAATGGGAAATCATCAGATTAATGGAAATAAGCAAATTCCATGAAGACAAGTATCACAAGTGCTCCCTCATTTGGGGAAGATTAAGGGAAAACAACATACAAAAACCAAGACAACAAAAGAAACGAGGTCAAGAGAGTTAAATGGAATTACTAGGGAAGGGAAAAGAAAAGTGAGAGTGAGGAAGGAATTAAGAAAGTGGAAGAGAGGGGGTGAATATGCAATAATCAAATATATATATAATCTTACTTAGGTATATGTGTGTGTGTGTGTGTGTGTGTGTGTGTGGAATTGTATGATGAAAGTCCTCATTATATGCAATTTAATATACACTAATAAATTCTAATCAACTAGAAACTGAGAGTTGTGGCACCGGCTTGTAATCTCAGCACTCAGGAGGATAAAGTTGGAGGATACTGTGAGTTTGAAGCCATCCTGGACTGCAAAACAAACAAAATTTTGTCTCAGAAATGAAAACCAACAAATAAAAATTATTACTCTACTGTTTTGATTTGCAATTTGTAGGCCTCTCTTAAAAATAATTAGAAACATAGGGAGAATAGCCCTCTAAAATTGTGTTGCACTTATGAAGCACAGTAAGTTCACTACCAAAAGTGCATAATTTCTGCAAATATTTTGTTCAATTTTACCCTGTTTCAGTACTCTACAAGTGAAATGAATTGGTTAAATGTAGAATAGTTAAAACTTTAAAGTCCCTTCCATGATCAGATTGATGAGGTTGAATATACAAGTACTAGAAATGAGTGATCAGAGAGAATAAGATAAGGAAAGATACATTTCAGGGAGAGTCAGTTAAGACTTTCAGCCAATAGAAGCCAGTAGCTTATTTCATGGGTTCTCACATATCTCTTGTCTTCACACCATTGCTATCAAGGCTTAAAATCTTACATTCTTAGCAAGAGAGACTACAAATTTCCCATTCCTATATCACTGGACAAGTGTCTATTGTTCTTCTGTATGTTATTTCCCTCTGTATTATATGTTTTTAAGCTGAAGAGTTCATATTGATTAGTGTTTGTTTTCTTCTTCCAGTTTTATAACAGCCAGTCCCTGGTTAGATACATCTCTCCTTGTTCTGTTATTTCCACTCTGAGTAGCATGCACTATGGGTAATCAAAAGCAATCAGGCCATTATTCTCAAGTGCATGAGAAGCTTCAAAAGAGTGCAGAGTTCCTTGTCAACTGAGGAACATGTTCACATTCTCCACACATCAGTTCTCAGTGTAGGGGAAAGAAAAGCAATGTCTACTTTTTAGTTTATTTTCAAGGATAAATAAACCTAAGTATTTAAATTAAACATCTTATGTTTTCCTGAACCCCTAGAGACCTCCTCCACTTAGACATGAGCACACATTTACATATGCACAGGCACCAATAGTTAACTTTCTGTTCTTCCTTTTTTCCAAAAACAAACTTGCTTTCATCGTTATTCTTCATTTATTAAGATTCTGAAGGCTCTGATTCTACTTTTACCATGATTCTTTATAAATACAAGTTCAGTTGCGATGGAGAGATAGGCAGAGAATAATTCATTTAGATACACAATTCTTTTATATTCCCTGTTTTCAGTTCAGTAGGGATTATGATTTTCATTTCATTCCTAATTTGTTTTCAAATAATGTTCATGCTTTCTTGCTAATATGAGCCTGATCTATTTGGTAAACTCAGATCTTCTTCAAACAAATGTATCTAATACTTTTCTATAATTTTTTTGGAAAGATTTTCTGTCCATTATTATAGAAGTTATCCCAAACCTGAAGGAGCTAATTCACTGGAAATTTTTTTAACATGTTTCTTATTGTAAAAATACTTCACAGAGCTAGGGGCCAGTGGCTCACACCTGTAATCCTAGCTACTAAAGAGGTTGAGATCTGAGCATCCCAGTTCAAAGCCAGCCCGGGCAGGAAAGTCCATGAAACTTATCTCCAATAAACCACTAGAAAACCAGAAGTGGCACTGTGGCTCAAGCGGTAGAGCGCTCTCTTTAAGCTGAAGAGTGCAGGGACAGCACCCAAGCCCAGCGTTCAAGCCCTGAGTTCAAGCACCACGACCGACAAAGAAAAAAAGAAAAAAGAAAAATACTGTACAGAGCGGTTACAGTTACATGAGCAAGGAAATGAGTACATTTCCTCTCAAGAAGGAAAATCTCAACTTCATTGACATGTCAAATATTTGTCCCACTGATAAATATTGTCAAGCATCTATGCTTTAATTGTTATTTATAATTCTAGAATACTTTCGAAGGTCTAAAATAAGGATAAGACAAGGAAAGACACGTTTTTAAGTAGTGCCAATGAAGAAAGTCTTTCAATCAAAAATCTACTTGGTGTATCTCCTTTTTTTCCTGAATTCTAAGACATCTCTTAGATAGCATATTAAATTTTTATGTTTGTTTAAAAGTTGATTTTCCTGTCTTCAGGAAGCAGGAGTTACATTTGTAATTACTTCAGATACCGATAGAAAACATATATGAGAGTTAATTATGTAAGAGAATTAATTTTTAGTATGCTTAACTTCTTGAAGAAGTGGCAGTTTCCTGACACTTCTCCACCTTCGAAGTTGTCTGACATTTGGGCAGAATTGTGTTTTAAATGCACTGTTACCTATGCTTTCTGTTGTGCAAATGGCTAATCAGGTGAAATCCTTAGGGAATCCTGTATTGATTTTCATTTCTTCAAGGCACTAAGTTGTTATCTATTACATAACAGATCTAATTAGTGCATAAAATGTTTGATTATTTTGAAAGATAGCACACTTATAGTTTACAAACTAGTCTGCTTTCAAAAGCAAACATAGAAATCCAATTAATACTTGGTTTTCATAAATAAATTCTATAAAAATATTGATGATGTATCTCTTTCAAAAATGGTTACTCTCCAGTCTGCAACTGGATTAGTATTAGGAAGAAAATTGGTAAGAGACATAAATTGATATAAACACTAGTGTTCTATCTGAAACCTTCCTTTTAAAAATTCATTTACAATACTCAGGTTTGAAATCAGGAGTTTGGACATGTTAGGTATTTATTCTGTCACTGAGATTTCAGTGTTTAATACATGAACTACTTTTTGCATTTTAATAAAAAGATGATTTCTAAGGAATAAATAATGCCTTGCTTAAATTAATCAATGAGTCTGGTCAATAATGCAATCTTAACTAGGATCTGCATGAATTCATTTCATAATAATATCAATTTTGTTTAATTAAAGGATCTGAATCTTTGATTAAAAATAAAATCTCTATTGACGTAGTAAACTTCTTTCCCGCAGAGTTATAGTGATAATAATCTAAGTATCAGTGATTAAAGTTATTTCAAATTTTTGTTGTTGTTTTTAGGTTTTCTGAATTCATGTGGAATGAAAGTAAAAAGAACAGATAAAAGTCACTAGAAAGAAGACAAAACACTCTGCAGTTCAATGTTTCTAACAGGATATCTACTTTGTTTTGTATATACCCATGTTTAGAAAATGATTTCAAATTTTATATATTAATCATTTTCTCATCATTACTGTTTTCTTGTCAGGCACTTAACATATTTTATTTCAGAATGGTTTTACTACCTCAGTTTTCACTGATACTTGAATTGACCTAGACTATGCTTTTATAGTGGATTAAAACTTTCAGAAAAGCGAATATTTTTGCCATAGACGAGATCTTCTTCAACATATATATGTGCACATTGTTGCACATGTAGATGAATTTAGATACACAGCATCAATAATGGTAATATGTACAATCTGACACCATCATGGAAAGAGGATATATCCTTAGAGTTGAGCAATACAAACACATTCAAAAATTTATTCTACTGACCAATGTTCTATTACAACTCTGCATCAAAACACAGCTCTCTGAAGAACTGCTATCAATTTGTTCAAAAGAAACAAGAAAAAATGAAATAATAGACCCAGACATATGTTCTACTGTAAAGAGTTTATTATCAAGAGAACTTACATTGGCACTGATTTGTCATAATACAAATATTGCAAACAACACTTAAAGATAACTTAAATTCATTTGGATGAAAGACCCAGAAACATACTACGGTATCAAGGTAAGGAGCCAAATCATTTATAGTTAAAATAAAATCATACAATATTGAAGATAAAGTGGTACCTACCATAAACAATTTTTTAATGATTTCTATTTCTGGAATTTGTTCCTGGTAACAGTGCTATTTCAATTGACTCATACATCATAGATCCTTTAGTAATTGACTTTCTTTTGTAAATAGTAACAGTTTCTTTGTAACTTCCTTCAGGTTATGGTTTCTACCAAGTGTTTGTTCCCTGTCACTGTTGTCAGTATTTCAGGTCATCAGTTTCTTACAATTTGTACAACCACTAACCCATTAAAGGATTTCTAAGTTCATTCAATTTAGGATCAATGGTGAATCAAAATTAAATAATATTACTCAGGACAAGTTTTGTTTTTCTCACAGACTGACTAGCAAGTTTCATTTGAGGGGATTTGTTGAAGTACCTGCTGACAATAGAGATTCCCCTCATACCAAGAACGCATGGTGACAGCTAAGAGCTATGTGTGTCTTTGCAGATTTGAACAATCCTGATATGGTTTAGTGAATGCTGACAGGAACTCAATGCTGCCACCAATCCTGTGAGACTAATTGATACTTCTAGATCCTCTAGTGAGAACAAGGCACAGCATGGCATGACTTGGAGAGTCAGAAAGGCCACATAGAGACGTCCTACCTATGCACAGTGGGAGGAGATGCTTGTTTTGTTCTAGCTGTGTATGTTGCATCGGTTCTTAAAACAAAGAGAAGACAAATGCACATTTCTCACCACTTTTACGGCCACCTTGACTTTCCCTGACATCCACAATTATTCCTGCAACAAGCCTTGTGATCCAGTGTTCTTTCTTCTCTCTCTACCCACTAATGTGCATCTTTAACAACTAATCACCTTTTAGTATTAGCAATTCTCATCCCTATTTATATGATTTCCTTAGATTTTGGCAGCTAAGGGAGGCAGCCCCTCCTCTCCACTACAGGCTCTAAGTTTCATTAGGACCCAAAAGTTGTTTCCTCCTCCTTAACATAGCACTTCAACTGGAGCCTTCAAAACATTCATATTGGCGTGACGGACGGTTCATGCATAGATAACTTCATTGTTCTGAATTACATTTGGGATACGGGGGAAATTTATTTTCTGTGTTTCTCATAGAAATCTATTTGGCACTTAAAATAAAGCCTTATAAAATTATCTTCACAGAGTAGAAAAGCTATACTAGGGGATTTGGAGGATTGTGCCCCAAAATAATAGAAATAAAGCTACTTAGGTTTCATCCATTCAAATGATAGAAGGAACCAATTAACTTACCTGGCCAGGCTTAGAATTTTCACAGACAACAATATCATATTCCCTGGCAAGTACAGGGGGATTGTCGTTGACATCCAGCACTCTAATACCCACTGTGACATGGCTCAGCAAAGCAGGATTGTCTGTAAAATAAACACAGATGTGTTGAACATTTCCTTGCAACTTTAGAGGCTGGGTTTAAAACAAATCTCCTTATTACTGTAGCTTCTCACTAGCTCCATACGCTATAGCAGGACTTTTGGCAAAAGACAACTTCATGAAGACATTCTTTGTTAGAACTAATTAACATAGAAAAATGAGCACCGAGTCTTGACACAAATACTAAAATTGTGTGTGTGTGTGTATAAGTATATGTGTGTATATATATATATATATATATATATATATGTGTATATGTATATATATATATATACTTATATGTGTCTCTATCCCATTCACTGCTTTTAGAAGCTTTAGTTATTGAGTTATTGACCTTGAATTTGAACATTCAACCTATTCTTCCTGCCTATAGATAGATTTGCTGCTGTTGTTGTGGCTGCTGCTGCTGTTGTTGTTGTTTTTGTGAACCAAAGAAATCTGCTACTGAGCAACTGAGAGACAATTGTCAGAACTGTGAGCTGTCAAAGTCAAAGGAATAAACAATGGTTTCATCCATAATCTAAAAGTAAAGCATAGTGATTGTTAGGAAAAAAATCACACCAGTTTTAAAAAGTTCAATGTCTAGAATCTAAACAAACCCAGAGAAAAAAACAAATGAAGTCTTTTGCACAAGTGCTCATTTTCTTCCTAGCAGAGAAGATATGCAGTGTGAGATGTTAAGACACAGTGGGGGAATAACATCAAATTTACATAGAATTAACATCAAATTTACATAAAGCTGGTATATTTTGAAATACTATATTCAATACTATAAATGTGTCTTAAGAGTGGTCTTCACATTTTCAGTAAGTTTATTAACTTCATTATGTAAGCAGGAAGAAAGGCAACTTTTCATTTTTCATAAGTTATGGCTAGAGATTCAGAATTTATAAGAAAAAAAACTAACGGTAACACTCAAGTTCTTAGTTCCATCTTAATTTGTATCTTTCTTATTATTGATTGTTTCTATCTTCTAAGAATTAAAACAAAATTTTAATGTATGAAGAAGTAAGAATAAGAAAAAAACATTCACATAGATGAGTTTAACAGAAGAAAAGGGAAGCAATATTCTAATACATAATTTACTAAAGCTTAGAAGAAAATATTCTTTCAGAGAAAGCATTTTACTTAGGTGTTTTTGCCTAAAGTAAAAAAAAATAGTTCTCTTTTGTGCACATTTTATCCTAAAATGCATAGGAGAGAGTTAGCTTTTTATAATTTATAAAAATTTTACTCTAATGCTAGATAATCCAAATAACGACAGGTTTTAAACATTCCTATAATGCACAATATAAATAGAAAAATCTAATCACTTTGACTACCTTAATAAATTTATTTCAAGAAACATTTTTTAATTCAGCAGTGATGGTACAGAAGGAGCAAGGGATGGAATAAGAAGGAAAGGAGGTTGGAAAAGGCAAAAAGGAAGGGAGGTAGGAAAGAAGGAAAGCAGGAAGGAAGGAATTTCTGAAAACAAATATTATCTACTTTTATAAACTAAAGAACAAAACATGCAAGCATATTTTCTAATAATTTATCACACATCCGTATATCCCTAAAGCAATAAAAAGACAAAATGCCAGCGTATGGCATACTTTGTCTTCCCACCCCACACTGCACTATTGGGGTCAGAGGTAAGGTCCTTAAGCTTATCATGCAGAGGTTGTACCTGCCCAGCCAACCTCAACCCCATGCCCATTATTGTTTTATTTTTCAAATAGAATCTCACATCTCTGTTTCGCCAAACAGGATGATAATCTTCCTATTTAAATCCCAACATAGCTCAGCTTAATGTTATAACCCTCTGTGCCCAAATTTTATTCTGTCCAAAATGGAGCCCCATGATTTATTTTTTTCTTGAGCTTGTCTTAACTGCAGTCTTCCCAGTTTCTATCTCCTGACTAGCTAGGATTACAGGCATGAGCCACAGTGCCCAGCTGTATACATTATTTTTAATGGTGAAAGTTAACAAGATTAATGAGTACTAAACCAATCTTGTTTTTTTAGTATAATTTTATTGTTATTATACAAAGACTTATTATACATAAGTCAAGTAATAAGAGAATAAAAGAACTTCAGAATAAATCTAATAAAGAATGTGAAAAAAAACCTATGCAGAATACTTTATTGAACTTCATTAAAGATCTAAAGAAATTAGGAACTATATTATGCCTGTTATTAAGGAAACAATATTATGTCTGTGGTTATGGAAACAAAACATTGACCTCTTCAAGATATATGCGTGTAGTCATTTGATCTAATATAAGTCTAATATACATATTTTATTGTGAAAATACTGTACAGAGGGGTTACAATTACATGGGCAAGATAATGAGTACATTTCTTATCAAGCATTGTAGACTCCTTTGTTTCCCCTTCTCATCCCTTCCCACCCCTCCCCACCCAAACCTCCCCCCCACCCCACCCCTTCCGCACCAAAGTTGTAAAGTTCCTTTTCAACATAACAACTTGTACAGCTCAAGTGAAAGAGGTCACTGATATTTGTAAGCATTAAGTTAATTCAAATTTGAGGGAATGGAGAACGAAGAGCATTATAAAGGAACCAGGGTCTGACAAAGGGACGGAAGAGGAAACCCTCAATATGAGGGTTTGAGGAAAGGAATGAGAATATGGGGGAGGGGGAAAGTTCTTCAAATTGTATTGTGTGCATGTCGGGAAATACCACTCATTAAAATCCTCTTATAGTGCAAATCTATGCAAATAAAAAAATAAAATGATAGAAACAAAATAAACCACTTTATGACTTTATATGATAAGTACTAAAACAACCTTATTTTTAAATATAATTTTATTGTTATTACACAGAGGGGTTGCCATTTCATAAGTGAAATAATAAGTGCATTTATTTTTTAGACAATATTACCCTTTCCTTCTGTGCACCCCAGTTTTCCTCTCCTGTTCTTGACTATAAGTTACATAGTTCATTTCCCCCATAGTGTATACTGAAAACCATGATTGCCTTTATTCAACCTTCCTCCCTATCATTCTGTGTTCCTCCTATCCACCCCCTAAAATATAAATAAAGGAAATTTAAAGCAAAAACAAATAGTACTAGCACCATTTACTTCATAGTAACAGAACAAAATATTTATGAAGAAGCAAATGTGAATCAATTATCATGGGCATGCATTACATAACTTCATTCTGTGCATTTATCCATTATCTTGTCAGCTTGCAAAGTGTATGCTCATTCTTCACAAAGTCATGCTACAGATGCCATGTTGAAGGAAATTATTTAAAATTGCCCCTTCATACCCCAAGGACTTATTTATCCCCAATTTCACATAAATCTTCTCAGACTTCTCTGTGTATTGAGTGTTCTTGCTTGCAAGTAATGCGAGTTAAAAGCTTTACAAGTTAAGCTGTGCCTTTGATCTTCAAAATGAGCACTGTTTTTTTTTTTCTTTTCTGTAAATCAGAACTGAAAAGCCACAGCAATTCACTTCTATTCGAAGTGAACTACATTGGTAGGATGCAAAAAAATATTGATTATAAACTAATTTGAAAAGAGTTCACTATGAGAAAACATTACAACAGGCCCAATTAATTATTTTGAGGAATTTAAATAATGCAATGTTTCCTTTAGTTTGAAGAGTTCCCGGTTTTCCCTTATTTTCCATCTCAGTTTCTTTCTTCATAACGGACTATGAATTGTTTTATCTTTCCTATTGGTTTAGCAGATAGAATTCACTTTGTTATCAACCCCATTGCAATTCTTTGAACTTACATATATAAATTATATTTTCATGCTGCCTACAACCCAATCTTTTACAGCTCTTTGAAAGTCATTTATGACACTAGAAATTAATTGATTTCTGGTGAAGGAAGAAATAAAAAGAGATTTTTAAGAAACTTTAAGTATAGCAGTACTTCTAATACATCCAAAATTCTCTGAGAGTTTCATAACTACCTAATTTTCTCCTAAATTGCAACATAATTTAAGCAAATCACTTTACCCATCTTCTGCAGACTTTCAAGTTAGACTCCAGAAATCCTAATCCCATTATGTTCATGTAGCCCATTATTTTGTATAATATTTAAATAAATCACATAATTACAGTAACAACTTTAAAAAGCTCAGGAATAGCGTGCCAGACAAGAAATTTCCTTTTGTTGTTGGTATTTTTTAAGAGTAATTGGTACCATCTAGCCAATGGTCATGAATTCTACAACTGAACAGCATATGTAAGTTTGTCAGTTTCAGTCATCAGAAAGTAGAGGGGACAAAGGTAATCTATTCTTGTGAAGGGAAGAGCACATCTATCATGAAAGTCCCCTCACTTACTGGAGTTCAGGATGATATCAGAGACATTACAGAGGGAACGGATTGTTGGTTAGCATTTAACACTCAGTGATTGTTCAGACACTCTTTATCTTGCAGGGGGACTGCATCCTGATAAACTCATAAGCTGAAAATATAAAAATTGTACTGAAGACATCTAAGGTAGAAGACATGATAGCTTAGCAACAGAGTCCTGGGCGATTATGATCCAGGTATGGTGACTGCATGGAACTTGCTGTTGCTCAGGGTGTAACAGGTCATCTCATTAGAAGTTCAGCATTCAAAATTCAAAGGGGAATTTCATACAATCATAAAGCAAAATATTCTGTGTCTACCTGGGCGCCAGTGTATTGTCTCATGATTGTAATCCTACCTACTTAGAAGGCTGATATCTGAGGACTGTAGTCCAAAGCCAGCCCAGGCAGGAAAGTCTTTAAGGCACATATTTCCAGTTAACTATCAATTATCCAGAAATGCAACAATGGCTCACAGTGGAGCACTGATTCTTAGCACAAAAGCCCAGGGATAATGCTTAGACACGGAGTTCAGTTCTGAAGACTGTCGTGTGTAGATGCGCACGTGCGTGCACACACACACACACACACACACACACACACACACACACACTAAGTCTGACAACGGTTTACAGTATAAACATAGTCATTCATTCAGCGTATGGGA